CTGGTGGAAAGAGACAGAACTCTGGAGATGGCCGAGTGGCACAAGGGCCTTGTTCATAGCAGCAAGGTGACAAGTGACTAAGTGGAACAAACAAGCGCTCTGTGTGATCCCAACTTCCCCGTTACACTAGGACATACCAACTCCTTTCAAAGTCACTGCAAGAATCTCGAGAAGTTAGAGGAATAAAGGCGCTTTTGAAACTGTTCTTGACTTTCAAAACTAGGCCACTCCTGATCAGGAAATTGCACAAAAGGCCTCTTTAATTCACAGCCTCTGTAATGAGCTTATGAATTACGAGTTTTTTCCGGCTGAAATAATGGATTTGTATGCTGAAGGGGGCAGCGGGAGAATGACAACCGCTATAAATGAAAAAAACGACTCACACCGTTATGCAGTCGGCCGTTATGGAAATGTCAGGTCATTTCTTTTGCCTCTGATGTGAGGGTTCTTAACTGAACTGTGTTGGATGTAATCCATTCACCACGTGGACATGCTGTAATTATAATCATAACAAAGTGATCAGGAAATTGAATTCCACAGCTGAAGGGATTGTGTATCCCTTTGGCAAGCGTCCGGTCAGCTTAGAAGAGAGATGTGATGTGGGCCGCACTTTGAAAGGTCCATGTCAATCGTCACTGTCATCACCATGAAATCACACATATATATTTCTCACATGTAGATTTAGCAGCAAGCAGTCTTTCAAGACTTCTGAGGGTGATTGTTTCCTTTGAGATGTTTCAATTAAACACAAGGTTTCATTTTTCTTCAGCATCAAACAAAAAGCTCTTTTGCAGGCTGAATGAACCCTGGCAGATGCTACTCTTTGGTTCATCTGCTCTCTATCACCGTATGATGGGAGTTGGAAGGCAGTCAACACAATCGTATAATGCCACGTAATTGAGCTCTAGCCAATGGGTGAGGCATTTGTAATGCCAGTATCATTATTTTTTACCCAAACTGTTAGCATTACCATCAAGACTTCATTAAAATTAACGCTCCTCCATATGTTTTTGGCGGCCGGGCCCAATTACCTTCGCAGAACTGCATGTAAGATAGATGTTCCTAGAGGTGGCATTAAAAAGTGATATAAGCTGTAGCGACGTGACACGTGTGAAGGCTGAATAGGACAGAGGAAGCCTGCACATGAAAGTAGAGGGATGCAGTTGAAATGTTATCTATACACTGCTGATGCACAGGCGTACATTAATATTATATACAAAAAATCTTCCCATGATGTAGGCAATTTTGTAGTGCGACATTATCTTATTGTTTGTTATTGGGCGCAGTAGTGCTAGTAGTAGTAGTAGTGGTAGTAGCAATAGCAGCAGTATACATATGTGAGCGTTGATTGATACGTCCGATACATAAAAATATACTGGACTATATGTTTACATGTATGGAGCTATTTTGATCCACTAATGTTTTTTTAATAAATATTTAAAACCATATATGCTAATATAGAGAGGAAATAGTAGTTTTGTTCCTATACTATATAATGTTCACCCATTCATACACTGATGGTAGGTGCTACCATGCAAGGTGCCACCTGCCCATCAGGACTCTAACTAACCATTTACACCCATTAATACACCGCAGGCTTTATGGGAGCAATATGGGGACTCAGGACTAGTGGACTAGTGAAGCAGGGGATCAAACCCGTCCTCTGATTGAAGGACGATCCTGCTCTACCACTGAGCCATAGGTCAGAGGTCGTAGGTAAGTTTTCTTAAATTTTTTTAAGAAGTTTTTTCATAAATTTTTTATGTCTGACAACATAAAAGTATTTAATTGACTTATGTGATTTTAATATAGAATATTTTATTATGAAAATATGTCTATCCAAGTGCATAGACTTGATTTCAGAATACAAGCAAGTGAATGTTTTTTCTTCTTTAAAGTTCATATATATATTTATACTATCAAGAAAACAATAAATTATTCTTGAATTGGTTGTAATTTTAACTATAATATTTATAATCCAATAACCTAATAATCACTGATAAGTTCCTTGAGAGAGACTTGATACTTGATATGTTGTATAAAAAATGATTGACATAAAGTTCAAACTGCTATTTCCAATTTCAAAAAATAAACTTTTAACTCAACACAATGTCTTTATCTTTGATTGATGAGCAGTTCCAGCATCTTTTTATTATTTTTTATTATCTGTAAAGAAAAAATATTTTTTTACAAAAGGAGGAGTTAAGGGACATGTTATGAGTCACCCTTGTTCTTAAGAACAAATAGCAACATAATTGATGAGGTTGTAACATTGCTTTGACGTGGGTTCCATACAAGGCTTTTTGGGCAGATATCTCTCAATTCAAAACATATTTTATAGCATATAGGTTGATTAGTACATCAAATAATCAGTCCAGTATATTAGATTAAGCACAGTTGTTAACATTGGGTTGGCTTTGGGTTTTATGTCATAGTTGTCTCAAAATCATATTTTGAGACAACTTAATTACTTTTTTGTAATTTTGTCTGATTGAATTTCAGACGTTTTAAAGGGTGGGTCTGTTAGTTTTTTTTAGGTTTTTATATCATTCTGTAGCTTATCAGTGGTGTTCCTTATGTATTAAAACATGGTTTATTATTATGCAGAATGACGTCATTTGAACTTCCCGATTGTTTTACATATAAGACAAGTTTGCCTTCTGGGCTTTCTGCACGAAATGTCCTTAGGTTTAGGCAACAAAAAAAGAACTATGTTAAGTTCATCCTTCATACACCTGTTTCATCTGATGGGATTGCGGCCGCGTTACCACAGTGATGTTGCGACAGTAAAAGATAGGGCTGAACTGTAGACGCTCCGTGGAGCGCTTGAATCCTGATGACATGTTTTCCCATGCACTTCATTTGACCGCCGGAGTTAACGTTTTGCAAGATGATTGAGGAAATTGGCTGAAATAAGTGTTCATTCCGTATAGCTGGAATTATAGATTTTCAGGGATACAACCAACGGTCTCAGCCACTGTGCACACCTCCCAAAACTCGAATTATTCATCCTCTAAATTGCATCTCGAGGAATGAGGATTGAGAAAGCTAACCGGAGGAGCTGCAAGCGAGGAATCACTGGTGTGTCCTTTGCTGAAGTCTTATCGGCAGCCGAGACGTACAAAAGAGGCGTGACATACAGCTGGAATAATCTCAAACCATGGCAGGGCTCTACAAATGTAACTGTTATTTTTACGTTCTTCAGATGTCGTTTATTTAAGATGACCCTTCATCTTTTGCGTCGCTGTTCTAACAGAATTCCTATTGACATTTCACCTTGATATTACTTGTGCTTTTATATTGAATATATTGAATGTACTTAACATGTAATCGATCAAACTTCAGTTGAACTATGGTTTATCAATGATCCCTTTTGACTTACGCTTGATATCTTATTTAATCCCAATGGTAAAAAAAAAACAACAACAGCTGTTTATGGCTTATTGCGCTGGCTGTAGATCCTAAATTAGAATCTGATTTCAGCGTCCGTCCACATCACCAAGTTGCAGTATTTGATCAAAGGTTGCTTTAGATCCTTGAGAGGAGCCCCTCAAAGTTAGTAAAGTTAGTAAATGAGTTCCATCTGTGGATCAAACGAAGGCAATGCCCTCCAACAGGTGTAATCTTGGTGAGAGAGATACCGGCCTCTGATCAATAGGTAGCTATTCTCTCGGTCATAATGAGAGCCGACAGTTAATCATGGCGTCTAAAAGCCCGAACAAAGAAGATCAGGGGCTGAGTGGAGGAGAGTGAAGCCTGCGTCGTTTGAAGAAGCCGACTTGGATCTCAAGTGCATGCAAAGTACAATAAAAAAAAAAAAAAGTGTGAGTGAGAAAGGGGTTATGTTATGGTTCGTGTTCATGCCATAAACATTCCAAAAAAGTTGTGTACTCACAGTTCAGTGTAGCTGAAAAAGTATGGTTATAAGCCATGAAAGAAAAAAGCACATGTTAAACTCATAGAAGACATCACCTGGGTTATTAGGAATAGTAAATATATGCGCAGTGCCCTATGTTTTTCTTTCATGTTACATTATATATGTTAATTGGTTAACTGGTTGTCTGAATCCGGTCTTGAACTCCATCCAGCACTCTGACCCATGTCGGAGACTCCAGAGGGGTTCAGCTCCTGTCCTTCAGAGGTGCTCTGCCCAACCGGTCGTCCTCCAAATCGCCCTCCAGAGCGGCTCTACAGTTCTACCGAGTGAAGCCGATTGAATCTCGAGTTTCATGTCTTCTTCAATACAGCATGATGTTCATTTAGTAAATTATGGTCCATTTAAAGTCAAATAGATCATAAAGCAGAGTATGCTTTAGGGCGGGCTTAATGTGATTGACAGGTCTCTGCCACTACCAGAGCCGTATACGTCGGATCTACGTCACTCCTCCGTATTCCAAATATGGTCACTTCTGATCATTGACTGCAAAAAACAACAACATGACGATGACGAAATCGCCAAACTCGAGGCTTTAAAGCGGCAGTCCACAAACCAATGGATGACTACTTCTTATATACAGGCTATTATTGTTAGTACTCACAGCTGTTAATTGGCCCTGAGGTTCACCTCAGCATTAAATGCCAATACTTTAATTATAAACCACACACTTAATAGAAAATCTCTTGCTCCACCCAAAAGATTTTGTATCTATGAGTGGACGGCAGAGACTTCAGTAACCTACATTGCCTTTGGGGCTCCACATAAAGACATAAACCATGAACCCTGATGCAGCTGCATTCCATAGAGGTTTATTGTGGATACAGCACACAGCACAGGATCATGAAGGTGAATCTAGCATGCTGCTACTGGAAGATAATTACTGGCCCTCAGCCAGTGCTACAGGCTTTGAAAACAGCAGCAGTGACATGACTGTCACAGCTTGGTGGTGTGTATCCAAGGCCTACCTGGATCTACCTGGATGAACTGTATGGAGCCCAAGCAGCAGGGGGTCATAGCTACACCAGTTTAGACCGAGTCTACATGAAGAGATTTTAGGGTCAGAATGAAGTTGGTGGCATACCTCACCCTCCTCATCTCTGCGGTTCACGCCGGTCCGCTGACAAAGAGACAAACTTGTCCGCGTGCCTGCGACGTCTCTCAATGCGCTCCTCCGTCGCGGGAGGTCTGTTACTACGGGCAGGTGAGGGACGGATGCGGCTGCTGCACGGTGTGCGCGGCCGGGGAGGGCGATGCCTGCGGGGAGCGGAGCGGTGGCGGCCTCCCCTGCGGCGAGGGGCTGCTGTGCGACTCTGTCCGGGGGAAGCTTGGCGGGCTCCGCAGCTCCTGCGCGTGCGCCGCCTCCGGCCCGGTGTGCGGCAGCGACGGACGGACTTACCCCAGCATCTGCCGCCTGAGAGCCGAGCTCGGAGAGGGTCCCCCGGTCATTTTGATCCAGAGGAGTTGGTGTGATTCAGGTGAGTTGTGTGATTAACTTAAGTTCCTTTTCGTTTCAATAGTTGAAAATATTTACCTGCACAAGTTATTAAAGATGACATTACAGAAATATAGGTTACATTTGATTAGCAAACTTCATGATAGATTCAAATATATTGTTTATGTTATCAGTAAGCTTCTCTAACGTCTACTACTTCTAATAATAATAATAATAACTATTATTATTATACTATTACTACTACTACTACTACTACTACTACTACCACTGATAAAATAAGTATTATACTACTATTAATAATAAGTATAATAATATTTTTATATAGTATAATAATAATAATTATTATTATAATAGTACTACTACTACAACTAAAAATAATAATAATAATTATTATTATTATTATTATACTACTACTATTTCTACGAAAATAATTATACTACTACTGCTACTAAAATAATAATAACTATTATTATTATTGCTACTACTACTACTAAAATATATAATACAACACCATTATTATGTATTATTTATGTAGTAGTAATACCAGTACTAATATTATATTAATAACTATTATTATACTACTAATTATTATACTATTATAACATAACTATAATAATAATAATAATAATAATACTTCCATTATTATTATTGTTAATTAGTGAGCTTAAGGTGGATTTGTTACCTTTGGACAGAACCAGGCCAGCTTTTTTCAGATGTGAGCCAAGCAGAAAGCAAAGCTTTGAATTTGAATTGTCACACTTAAAGCACAGGAGCTGAATATATCTTCCAGCCCTGGACTCTATCAATGACCAGAGCTATACCACACATCAAACATTCCTAAAAAGGTAGTGATACTGGTAATATCCCTGCTGCTTTTTCCAGACATGTCTTTACAGAGGGTGATAGAGGCTGTTGAACATATTAATATATATATAATAAACTAACGTCACATGTACAGTATAGGCCATTGGTTTATAGGGTTTTTAAGTACTGGACAGCAAGGAAAATAAATGAGAAAAACTTTACCATGACCTAACAACTGCTGAGATTCTGAGATAAGACTCTGAGAGAACAACTCCACCAATTTTCCACATGAAAGTCAGTCTACTTGTCATGGTTACTCACTCAAAGAATAGGCTATGCAGTAGCGGGCCGTGTGTTTTATACCTGGGCCTTCAGTGCTGTCCTACTACAGTTGAGCCACCTCCTAATAACCTTATTATGATGCCACAGCTACAGGTTATTAGGAGTGTAACAATACACATATTCGTATTGAAGCATTCGGTACGAGGCTCAGGGTTCAATACGCATTACGATACGTTAATAATAATGATACGTTTGAATAATACGAGTGCATTTGGAAAATGCAGAAGCTTAAATTGTGGGAAATATAATGTTCTCTCGGTGGAGCCACAGCGCTCAATATGGCAACCCACCCAGCGTAACAGACAACGAGCTGTCTGACACTCCCACCACGGAAGAACAACATTGTACTCTGGTGATGCTCGTGTGTTCTGGGAGGCGCGCTATGCTAAACTAGCTTAGCAGGAAAACCAACAGCAGCACACACGCTAGTGTTTAGCTGTACCCTACTGATTCAAAGAGGGCTAAAGCAATCGCCACACAATTCTCATTTCTCCAGACCATAATTCCTGCTTTGTAAAAGAAAACAACAGCATAAACAGAGAATCACATGTCTGACCCTAACCCCTACAGGTTATTTGTTTCGTGTAAATTTAAGCTTAACACCTAAATACACTAACTGCAGAGTGCAGATATGGATACGCCCATGACGGGATGCTGTGTCATCAACTGGCAATGCATATAGTCAAAATCAATGTAATTAACACAAGGACAAGAACAAACTCACAAGAACCAGTCACATATATTTATATGACAACAAAACATGACACATCAGTCCAGCAAACCTGTGGCGCTAAAACACGTATTCCACCGCACACTGAAGAGCACGGGCCATTCAAATATTATTCACATTAGAGGGAACAATATTAACCATATCATAAAATCCAGCCAGAGGTCCTCCTGCGAACGTGTTCGTTGAGTTGTAGATCCACTCGGGACTCTCCAAAGGTTTTCAAAAGCACCATAGCTTATAAGTGTCCTGTCATTCTTTTGGGTTGTGTTGCTTTCTTACGATGTCCAGCTTTTCTGGAAATGTCCTTCTCCAGAAAGGCGTTGCCAGTAACTCCCAAATCCGTTTCTCCCCCTCCTTCAGCCATGAGTGTTAAAAAAACAAAGCTACACCAAGCAAAACACTAAAAATGTCATGTCAATGTCATAACTTCTTACATATCTTTCAACTTGAACTCTTACTACTACTAAGTTCTGCTAGCTAGCTTTCAGCTTCACAACAGTCACGCTAGCCCACTGACCAATCACACCGCACGTTAATGCTGAGATGCATGTTAATGCTGACGTACTTGTAGGCCACCTAGACAGCTCTGACATGTCAAAGAATACGCCCAACATGTCAAACTAAAGATCTGATTGGTTGAAGACTATGACAATCAACAATATCATCCCCATTCACTTAAACTGCAAAGGCTTCCTAGCGGTCATCGGGCCTCTCTCTTTACATAGAGATATAGGGGTGAAATCTGATTGGATAAAAGCTCTACTTAAAACAAGCTGCACTAGAAGCAGAGCAACTGAGGAAGACAGTAGCTGTGCAATGAGAAAATAAGATAATGGGAAAAATAATTAGACTACATGTAGTGTATTTATGAAATATTATTAAATTATAAAATAGCTATAACTTTTTGATTCTGTTTAGGCCAGCAGAGAAGGCTTTGCTGCCCCTGACGGCCCACCACTGAGGCTATGTAATGTCTTCTGTGGCTCTGGAGGCGTGTTGCGAAATCTGAGAAAATAAACGTAGCTATCTCAGATTGGTCTGAGAGACTACACATTTTTAACAGGAAGTCAGCTGTCGTACAAACTGGGGTGTGAAGTATGAAAGTCATACGGGCTTTCAGCAGGCAGAAAGAAAGGGTGCAATGGTAAATCGCCAGAGATCTCCTTTCAACCTCGGCTGTATCGGTCAGGACTAAAGGAATGATATTTTGCTAAAAATGAAAAAGGTCACTGTGCTCCATTATCATTCTCTGAACAAATGAAGGTTCAAAATATGGTCATATTTTTGTATTTTCCTGCTTTGTGGCGCTTAAAAAACCCACTCATCATCATCTGCGCTCTTTAATTTGACTTGAGAAGCTCCCCATCCTCTGTTTTGGAGACTGTGCACGACTCTCACATTGGATGAAAACAATATATGTATCTGTAGAATGTCTTCCCAGAAGGCTTGATGTAGTGTCCCTCCAATGTTCTGCACATTCGTGCTCAGAAGAGCAAGACAAAATTCAGTTGCGAATCCTCCAATGATGGAGTCTTATCCTCCAGAGGGAACCCACCACGCTGCTGTGTAAATATATACTCCTCATTTTCACCAGCTGCTTCTATCCATTTCATAATGTGCAGGTATGCAAAAGCTCACAAACGTCGAGGCAGAGACGCCTTAATATTATTGACTACAGACGTCTTTTGAGGCCCTTCCCTTCCTTCACAATACGCCACGGTGACTTTAATTGAGACCCCCCCCCTACAAGCGGATGTGGGCGGGGTTTAGGTGTGTGTCTGATGACACAGGTTAGCGTAGATGCTGCAATAGCTGCAGCACCAACAGACTATTTCTTCAATGAAAGATGAGCAAAGGAAAGGCTTTTCTCCATGGAAACACTGTTTTCTCTCTTCTCCCAACTGGCTTTGGCAAGAGTTTGATTGACAGATGATTTAACAAATCACCATCAAGTACATGCCTTTTTCCAAACAGTTTCCAAAGACGGCTTCTCAGATGGTTGTGTGTAACAAACCATCTGGTGGTAAGGTTAGCATTGGGAGTCCTCTCCCAAGAAAATGTGAAGGTTTTTGACCTTAAAGAATTAGTGTAATGTTTATTCATTTTAAAAGACCACAATGTTTTGTAAAATAATAAGAATTATTATTTTTTTTTTATTGTAATTTAAATCTTATAATATGCAACTGTAGAATAGAAGAAAACGCAATAACTAAACATTAGCACACATGAGGCCCACTGTGTGCGTCTTTGAGGTGCAATGAACATGATCTATGTTTGAGAACACCATTAACAGGTTGCAACATGTAACCCTTTTTTGAAATGACACATTTGTGATGGAAATGCTGAATGTGTGATCTACGTGGCGTTCTATGTGCAGATCGACACTTGTTTTCAAATTTGAAGACCTGATAGCAGATTAGATGGCATGTCACATAAGTATTCATCTGATGGATGATCCACAATAATCACACAAGTTGGCATGAAGCAGTTCAGCGTAATTGAAAGGGTAGTGAAAGGCCCAGGGAGGATACTGTTGATTTGTTAGTTCAGCTCTCTGACAGGCAAAAATAGCTGGTGCTAAAGTAGCTCTTGGCAATAGGCACGCTGGCATTTGCTCAAAAGGTTGTTACTGCAGAGACATTTCATTTGTGCAACTCTGTAAACACAGCATCAGTCAGAATGTGGTGGCTTCAGAAATGGGATTGCGTGTTTGCTTAGAGAGCAGGCGAAGATAATTTTGGAGATATTATCAGGGAAGAGATTGCACTGCCCTCAGGTGACTCAAACACAGGTGTCCACAGCAGAGAGCATTTTAAATAGAACCCAACCCGCCTTTCAAACTGTGGAGGTTTGACCTTCCATTTCCTCTTGTAGGCACTCCAAGCTGCCTACAAGACTGTATAAATAAAGCAAGGTATAGCAGAGATGAATAGATGGCTTTGGCACATGCTTCGTCTTTGTTTTTATGGAGAAGTTTGCTGAAGTCCATGAACTCACTTTAAATAACACCAATAAAAGTTGATATTAAAAGTCTAACATGAGCCATGTGCTCTGAAAATTCAGCCTAATATTTACTCTATGGCGAGAAATAAAGAGGAGAAAAAAAGGAAAGACTATATGAAAACAATGTATCCACATTGAATTAATCACCAACTTTTCTTCCTGGGACCGCAACCGACGCATTGGCCTCAAGCACGTTTGTAGTTTGCCACATGGAAAATTGCAATCTGACACAAAAAAAAGGATAATCGCGCTCATCCGCTAAACTCTTTGGGCATGTTTGTGATGTTATAGTTTAGTGCATCATATTTTTTGTAAACGGGGCAGATAGTGGTTTCAAATGATAGCGGTTTCAAATTGTGAATTCCCCCTTGAGTCTTTCAGTGGACTTAAACCAAGCGGCAACCTCTGGGACAGATTTAATCCATCACATTTTAGTGGCCTAACCTGTCATCTATTGTCCTGTGTCCTCAAAGGAATGCAACATCCAGGAAGTATGCGCAACAAGTTCAACTTCATTGCAGATGTGGTGGACAAGATCATCCCAGCTGTGGTGCATCTAGAGCTTTTCCAAGGGTAAACCTAACCGAAGCAAGAACATTAATTGTCCCCCTTCTACACTCTAATTCCAACAGATCTAAAATCATGTTTTCCTTTTGCCAGAGTGCCATTTTCCAGTGAGGAGGTCTCTGTGTCAAGTGGCTCTGGGTTTTTAGTGTCAGAGGACGGCTGGATCCTCACCAGTGCTCACGTACTCAACAACAAGAGGCGGATAAAAGTGGAGCTGAAAAGCGGTTCGCAGTACGACGCCTCAGTCAAGGACGTGGACCAGAAGATGGACATTGCTCTCATCAAAATTGAACCAGATGTGAGTTTACACTGTGTCACCTTAGCTCCCCAAGGGCCTCAGACTAAATTCTGTCCTGTGTTTTCCTATGGCCTCATAGCTTGTCATCACAGTATATTAACCCCACACAATAAGTTATTCCATGAAGAGAATCAACAACGGCCTCTGCCCACCAAAATTACACTCTACTTCTTCACTCGGTCAATTTGTTGTCTGAATTCCTCTGGGGCGGTGTTAGGTCATGTCTCGTAAATTCGAAGCCTCAGATTTCTTTTTTTGTGTATTGGCGAGTGCTGTTCTGAATAAAACATGTCACTGCTCAGACACGCTCTTACACAACCAGCTGCTTTGTATGGCAGAGGTGGGTTCTCTACTCCTTCATTCAGACTCCACTCAGCATGAAGCACATTATTAACATTTTTTAGTGCTGATCTGAATACAAGAGTACCTCAAGAATCCCAAAGAGAAAGCCAGAGGAATCACTGTCTTTGACTGCTTTATAGGTGAAGGAGTTAGTCTGAGAAACAATCAGGGAGTGGTGACAGCTGTACAATGCTATAACTCTCTGGGCTACATTCCTTGTAGAGATAGTTCTAAAGCCTGCCTAAAAGGCAAATTTGTGATGACATAAGACTCCACGCCATGGGAGATTTCGCTATAAATTTGGCTGAGCATTGCAAGACACCCCAGAGACGAATGGCATCAGCCTTGAGGAGGCAGGCAGGGACGAGCTAAGGCTTAGTTTACTTTTCTGTATACTCCACAAATCCCATGTTGAGGGTGGTGCTAATAAAACAAAAGCATTCCCAGTGTAGTGCTTGGTCTCGGGAACATAGGCAAAGATTCAAATAGAGCAGCTTTTATTGCCAGGGGCATAGATTCAGCTTGAGATGAAGCAATCAGGTCTATGAATGATTATTAGTGGTTTTAATTCATAATGTTAACAAAGTTGTTAATGAGCAGAGATTGCTTTATTTCGATGCCAGAAGTGAAGTTGTTACACACATACCACCCTAAAGACTTGATGGAAAATGATAAAGCTAGACACACAGGTTAGGTCCATTGGAGCACTTCTGAGAAAAGCGGAGTACTATTGTCTGATTAAAATTCCAGTCAAAAAGAAAAAAGGATAAAAATAAATGCAGCAGAATGAAAGATAACTTTTTTTTTCATTTTATTGGTCTTTATTTATTCCTTTCTCATCAAAACCTGCCGGCGACATTACCCACAATCCAGTTCTGTCTTTTTAATGCGACTTTTCTGCCGATCCTGCCGGGGCGCATTAACTGTCGTGGCTGTTCGCCTGCATTGGGATCTGATCAGCCAGACCACTTGTCTGAGTTACTGCTGATGGACACTCAACATAACCCTTATTTTGTTGCTTCAAAATAAAACTTCGAAATAGCAAATTAATTGGGGACATTTATTGTGGAGGAGGATGGGTCAAATAAACACAGAGCTTGTTCGAGACCAGTGTGCCAAATTGGCAAACTTTTTTTAAAGTTATGTTAATGAAGTTGTTTACATACATATTTTACTTAGTTTACATATTTATTCTAAGCTCAACTATGTTGTTTTTCCTAAACCTAACTAAGTGGTTTTGTTGCCTGAACATAACTGTGACCGCTTCACAGTATTGACTTGGCGTTAAGCAAAAAGCAAAAAGCTGTTTCACAACGTTAAAACTTTTGACATATAAATGACACGCAAAAAGCCTAAAATGCGGGAAAGTGACCACTTGTCTGAGTCTGGTTACCGCTGATGGACAACCAACATGTCCCCATTTTGTTAAAACTGCTAAATAACAAATTATGAGTGGACTTTTATTGTTACTATCAAGCCTTACTAAACAGTAGGTCAGCTGTGTGTAGCCTCATTGACCTTTTATTCAATCTGTACTAACCAATCCTAGTATGTAGGAGGGATAGTTAGCCTGCTGACCTTAAGTAATCTTACCAAGGTGAGCTAATAAATGAAATTAGGACATAATTTCACCCAGCATGTTCCTGTTCCATTCATAAAACTGATTGCTATTTCTCTGTGTGACTTGCTGCAGAGTCCCCTGCCTGCGCTCCTTCTCGGCCAGTCCTCAGACCTGCGTCCCGGTGATTTTGTGGTGGCGGTGGGAAGCCCCTTCTCCCTGCAGAACACTGTCACCACCGGCATTGTCAGCACCGCTCAGCGCAACGGCCTGGAGCTGGGCTTTAAGGACGCGGACATGGACTACATCCAAACCGACGCCATCATTAATGTCAGTGAGAGCACAATCACAATCGTTTCCTGTCTCGATTCTGCATTTTTATTCCATCTGTCTTGACAATTCCTGTTCTACTTTCTCGATGAATAAGTAAAATATTGTTGTTGCTCTGTTGATTCACAGTATGGCAACTCTGGTGGGCCGCTTGTCAACTTGGTAAGAGATTTATAGTGCTATATCGCATGAAAAGTGATGATACCATTATTCATCATTTGCATATTTGTTATGCCCTCTGCTATGCCGGCAATCTTTCCTGTTTTATTCATGACAGTGAAGACTAAGGTCATGATTTTGTTTTATTTAATACCCAAAGTCTCCAGTCTGCTCCCTCAGGTTCACGATTAAGCCTCCCTCACAGTATTTTAGGACAAGACCTGATTATGGAGGCCTTTGCATTGTTACCGTGGAATAAAATCATACAGATGGTACATCCATTTATCAGAGTCGCTGCCTCCAGCTTCCTTTCCCTAAAAATGCAGTTCTCTGTTCTCTCTAAAAGCAGAACAGTTGCCATACCGACGGTGCATTTTATAAATTGTCCTTCACTGTGAAAACCCAGATAAGTTACTACAATAACCAAGACTGATGGGTTTTGTTGAAGGTAAAAGGAACATTTAATAGACTATGAGCTTTGGGATGTGCATTGGAAGAAAAAGAGCCGTACTACTCTTGCAGAGACATGAAACCGATGAAATACTTCAGGCCAAAATTGCCGTCCAAACCTGGTAATTCCATTTGCTTCGAGGTAAACGCGTTCAGCGACACGCAAATAGTTGTTTCACTACGTTAAATCTGTAGCGTATAAACGCTGTTTCCAACTTAAAGACCGATGGATTGACAAGTCAAAAGGCACGATTTAAAAACATTAAAATGATTATTTAGTTTTGATGAGACCCGGTTAAGATGGCGTAGTTTAAAGAGGGCCGGTTAAACCTCAAACGGAAAAAAAACTGGATGGAAATGTGACTTTTCTGTTTGTTTCATGCATTATCGTGAGGAAGGCCATACATTAGAATGGTGCCGAGAGATGGTGAGACTATTTTCTGTCTCTTCAGTTTGCATTAAAGCATGGCTGGATGGAGGCACACCATGGTCTCATCCTCCTTCCATTCTGTTTTTTTTAACAGGATGGAGATGTAATAGGCATGAATACCCTGAAAGTGGCAGCAGGAATCTCTTTTGCCGTCCCTGCCGACAGAATACGCCAATTCCTCGCTGATTCCTACAACAGACAAGTCCACGGTGAGAAGGATCTAATGCTAGTGTTGTGGATCTAGTCTCCAGGAATTACTTTGTGATCTCTTTCAGTCATTTCAATATTTGATTTAATTCAACCTTTCATTTGCATTTAGGAAATACGCGACAAAAAAACAAATACATAGGTGTCCGGATGATACATCTTTCACCATCGTCAGTAAACCTCACAAGAACAAATTTCTACAATACCACGTTTGTTTTAGAAAGACATCCATTTTTAACAAGTCTCAAGAGTCTGATGGCTCGGTGTATTACTGTTCCCTACTTGAAGTGTATTATTCAACTTTTATTTCAGACTCATGAGTCCATATAGCAACAAATACAACAACAATATATAAAATACAATACAATACAATACGAGGACACCAAGACACAGGTATAATCATTGCAGTTAAAAAGTCACTCGTGGTTCAAAACATACAGACATTTGTTCCAATGTTTCCAGAAACAAGAAGAATACCTTGTATCACTTTGTGTTGGCTCAGTTAAGGCTTTTATAATTACATTTCCTGAGTCATTTAATCGACATTTAAATTTGGAGATAAAATTCCTCAACACAGCATGGAAGGTGGGAACATTACGAGTCACAAACATATGACTTGCACTTGTCCATCTTGGAAGCTTGAGCAAGATTCTGAAAGCATAATTAAATGCCACCTGAATCTTCTTCTTCTTTGATTTACTAGCTGCACCACAGGTGGGCTGTATAGAGTGGAGTACAGTAGGCTCTAAAGAGAGCTGTTTTAACATCTTCTGTACACATACGAAATTTACGTGCCACCATATTAGCTTGTGCATACAGTTTGGAACACTGTCGTCATCACTTAGATCATTCCTGATGATGCAACCCAAATATTTAATTTTGTGCACAACATTTAGCTCTTGCTCCTCCCATAAAAAACGAAGGAAAATGTAGCTTCTGATCCTCCTTGGTTTTAGCAATCACGATAACACTCTTTTTAGAGTTGAATTTGATATCATACTGCACGCCATACCGTGAGCAGACTCTGAGCAATTGCTGTAAATCAGCGCTATAAGGAGACAGGACCACTAAGTCATCAGCGTACATCAGATGGTTAATAAGACTTTCCCCCACCATACAGTCTGTCTTACACTCTTTTAACTTTTTAGAAAGATCATGTAACAATATATATAAATGTGTCAATATAGTCCCCAAATACATACATACGTTTTTAATTTAAAAATAATGATGTTCAGTAACTTGTTCAACACTAAATATATATACATATATATATATATATATATATAGGCTAATCCTTTCATTTATATGATATATATGACTGAATCATTTTTCAATTGGCTTTGTGTCTTTTTGACCAAAAGGCTTTATCCCGTTGGAGTAGTTTCAGTTGGAACAGACTGTTTCTAGATTTCTCTAATCTATCTTTGTCTCCATTTGTCCAGCTTGATTCGAGATCTCAAGGAGCGTGAGAGCGAAGTTCCAGATGTGAGCTCAGGTGTTTACATCTATGAGGTCATACCTGGAACAGCTGCATCCAGGTAAGAGCCAAGCTACAATCACTTCTACTGTGTGTCCCCCCATTCAGCTCACAATTTCACAAGACGGGCAAAATATAGGTTATTGATATTCGCTGATAATTTCTGTTTCCTTTTGATTGGTTTTTGACTGGTTCAGTCTCACCGCTCTCATCACTTCGCTTTGCTTCCAGTTTTACCAAACAGCTGTATTCAGTGATAAAAAAAGACGTAAAAAAAGCACTGCACACTAACACTAACTGGTCGGTGGCAGTGCAGAAAGTCTGAGAACAACATTGACCTCACTGTAAAAACTTGTTATCAAACCTTTGCCTAGCAGACAGTGCTACTTCAGTATTCATTTGGAGTTGTGTTTATGGCCACTTGGTGAATGTAAGTCCAATATCCTGAACCCTTCTCACTCCCAAACTGCTCCACAAACCACCTCATATTCAGTGGCCCTCGGTGTCTGATACCGAGGCATTTTTTAGCATCTGTATGACAAACCTAACCAACAGTGGTGTAAGGTAGTTACGACGAGCCTCAGTGCATGCTATCATGATGGGCCCTAGTGCATGCTACTTACTAGTTATAAATAGGCGGCAACCTCTGGTTCTGACGAGTGAAGCAGATGTGGAAGTGTCTTAAACTTGCATTCTCTCTACTGACCATCAGGGGGCGACTCCTTCGGTTGTATAGAAGTCTGATTGTATAGAAGTCTATGAGAAAATGACTTGATTTATCCCCTCTGTAAACATTTTAAACATGAGTTTATGCTCTCAATCTCTAGTTTCAAGTCTTCTTCAACACAGCATGATGTTCATTTAGTAAATTATGGTCCATTTATAGTCAATTAGACCATAAAGCAGGGTATGCTTTAGGGCGGGCTTACTGAGATTGACAGGTCGCTGCTGCACCAGAGACGTATACGGCGTCTCTACGTCTCTCCTCTGCATTCCAAATATGGTGACTTCTGCTTATCGGTTGCAAAAAAACAACAAGGGGACGGCCGTAATCCAAGATGGTGACGGTGAATTCCCCGAACACGAGGCTTCATAACGGCAGTCCACAAACTAATGGGTGACATCATGATGACTATATCCACTTCCTATACACAGTCTATGGTTATAAAGCACACACACTTGGGTGGTTCCTTGGCTGGCAGCTGTTTATAAAAAAAGAATCTCATTTGCTTTACTACCTTCTCATTACTTTGCACTTCAGCTGAATTCTTGCATTATATCTAGTGCTGGGCAAGTTAACGCGTTAATTTCGCGTTAACGCATTCATTAATTAAGGCCGACAATTATTTTATCGCGCGTTAACGCATTTGTTTTATTTATTATAATTTCTTTTCTTTTTTTTTCTTTTTTTTTTTTATTGAAAGACAAGAGGCAATACATATACATAACAACAAGAGGATGACAAGAACAGTGGGATAAAAGCCAGCAAACATCCTATAGTCAGTAATTTGAGTGCACCTATATGCTGAAATTCACGGTAAATGCATTTAAATGGCACAGATCGGGAGCGAGCAAAGGACTTTGAAAGTTAGCGGAAAGATTAACGTGAGACAACATCCGGTTTCTTCAGATGAACATCCGGTTTTCAGAATAAGATGCCAACAAAGTATGAATTATATTCACATTAAGTATAAAACATGCTACCTGCATCTCGTGAACCAAATGTTATTGCCCTTTTGTTCATATAGCAGTACTTTTAAAATAAAAGTGCGCAATACACTACTTTTGAATTCATTATTGAACTTTGCCATAACAATGCAATTAATCGCGATTAATCGCAAAAAATCCATGCGATTAATCGCGTTTAAATATTTGAATCGTTGCCCAGCACTAGTTATATCACAAGATCACTAAAGAATTAAGGGATCACATATCGCATGAAAGCCCATCTCGTCAGGCTTCAAGTAACACGTTTGTAAACAGTAAGTCACATAATCAAATAGAAACTTGACACTGGACAACATACATATTACCCAGCAATCATTATTGCACATCTGTATATGACAAAAATACCAAAAATAATAAGAAATTATTAATTCAATTGAACAGTTTTGTTTCTATAGTTTATTTATAGTCTTTATAGTTTATGTAGAATCAGCATATCAATTTCACAGCCTGTAGCGTAGGACCACTGACCGGGCTGCTGTATTTGACATTAATTTGTTGAATATTCACTCTATTTCTTTGGTCTCCACCAATTTCCTGTGAAGAAAACATCCGTCTCTTTAGCTGTTAAATGCTCTTCTGTGTTCACCAGCTAGTCGCTAATGTTGCTCGTGTACTGACTGGTGCTGGTCAGGTGGTGTAAAGAAGGTGTTTTTTTTAAGCTGTCTGCTGTGACTGGAAACAAGGTTAACGAGAGTGACATTTTGGGGGATATAAAATAAGCTACAATACGCTAAAATGCTCTCTAAAATTGAGGGGAAGCGCAGAGTCGGGTGAAAATTCACTGTGGGTTTATCACTCAGAGTGACGACTTCCACATTACAGATTAGTCTGTTTTTAATTTGATCCATTGTTAATATAAAAGTGTTGACGAGTGCAACTTCAATACGAGCAGTTTTTACACTGGATTTCTGTCTATGTTGTACTGGTGTAAGTTTCAAAGTAACATACTGAGCTGAATTTTTTTTATTAGACAGCATTACCTGGAGCTTATCGGTAGCCATTGTTGGACCGAGCCTATTTAGGTGCTAGGCTTTTAAAAAATGCAACAGCAGGGCTGTGAACTGGCATTTGGAGGCCCTCTGGATATTTTTTCCAGCCGCTGAATAAGAGCATCCCCGCATTTCTCAAGGCCGTAGATCAGTCCGGCTGCTCATTATCCCCGTGCTTACAACAGGCCAAGCTCTGACATCTTTCTCTTGGTGAAGGCAGCATCTCTCTCTCTTTCTCTCGCTCTCTATATTCTCAATAGTCACCGCCTCCCGTGACATTGAAAGCCTGAAGCTTTGAACAGCACACAGCGGCGGTCTAACATACAACAGAGTACAACAGAGGATTTCAATTTACCATGACAGTGCTGAATTGAGCGCTGTACTACTCCTTGCATCCTTCGCTATTGTCTGGGATCAGAATGTATAATCTTTCGCTACAGTTTTGCGTGTATCGTCAATCAGTCTGTAAAAGATTATCAGAGTAAATCCCTCACATGTAAATGTCAAGCAGGGCGGTGCATGATAAAGCCATGATCCCATGTTAGGTTTGTCTCACGAGGGAGAGGGAACCTGACACAGGATCAGACTTGTCTAAAGGTCAAAGATGTTTTCCTGTGTGTGAGATCCACCCAGCTGGGTTAGGCCTGTTTTACTGAGGCTTTAAAACAATCTGAGCCCCAAAACCATGTTTTCTTCAAACAATCGGCAAAACTACACCATTTATCCGAGCCAGAGGCTGTAAAAACTGCCATTATCGTCAGATTTTCATCTTTCCGACACTCTTCGAACACATCATGTGTTACAAACACTTTTAAGAGAAAAGGCAGCCAAAACAAAGCTTCAAATTGTGATATTTCATCAAAAACATTTTATTCAACACGTCTCATTTAAAATATCGCCCCAAATAATTAACAAGTAACCAGATCCTGTAAAAAAAAGCATTCAATTCTGCACTCCTCAACACAACTAGGAAGCCATGATTGATTTAGCTGAGACCAACAGTCATGTGACAACAATTTCCGTGAATCTTCGACTGAACTGCAGGTGGCTGAGCACAGAGCAGAGAGGAGAGGCTGTAAGGAGAGGTTCTAAAAATATGAATAGTTCAATATATATATTTTTCCAACATTGGTAACACTTGGAAAAATGTTCGATATATAGATTCCAGTGGTTTCCAATATTTGTAAAATAAATTATTAAAGAAATTCAACATTTTTGCATTTTTTTCTGTCTTATGATCGTTGGGATTGTAGGTGACTATCAGCAACTTAAAATTAGTCACCGAGAGGCTAAGTAGGGGAGACTAACCTGCGGACGCGCTGGCAGTAAATGATTCACGTCGATCCAGTGGCTGAGTTTTGTGAGTTTATTGTGGATAACAAACAAACTTTGGTTCTGGATAGCTTTACAGTCATTAGTCGAACAATGACAATATTAGTGTGAATAGATTGTAAAATAGCGGTCAACAAAAAATAAGGCTCCCTCTCTCACCCCCTCTCCTTCCATTCATCCAACTAAACTACTGAACAGCTGATATCCCCATTGCTATCCCCAACACCATGTGACTCAATTACTCAAGTATACCGGAAGTGACGAACAAGGGTATACAAAATGGCACAGGCCATACCTGGCTCCTACAGGCATGGTAACTGTGTTATACTGCAAAAAATACTTTTTGTTATCTCTACTTCTAGCCATGATTGGTTCCATAGAGGTGCAGGACTTTTACATTGAAAAAAAAAGTGACAGGAGCAAAAAATGCCCCCGAAAAACTGCTTGTGGTTCGAAAGGGTTGAAACGTGAGTGATGTCTTGGTGTTCTCTTCTCCGCAGCGCTGACTTGATCGACCGCGACGTCGTCATCGGCATCAACGGCCGGCCCGTCCGCACCACGCAGGACGTGAGCGAAGCCATCCGGAGCGGCGGCACGCTTTCAGTGACGGTGAGACGAAAGGATGAGGATGTTACTCTGACCATCACTCCTGAAGAGACTGAATGATACCACTCACTGTACATGGCGACCATTAAAGACTAAGATTGACTTAACACACTGAGCCGCTGGAAAAAAAAACTGCTGTTGGATTTGTTGCCTGCATTACTTGGTCTATTGTGAGAACAGGCACATTTTCCTGAGAATGAAAGAGCAAGGGCTCATTTCTAGAGCCTCCACTTTACGCAAATAACGTTCGATAATCATGCAGGAAGGAAAGTACAGACACTAGAAATAGAATAGATCCTCAGGAACAAGAAAAAAAAAAATCCTAACTGCAGGGCATTAAGGAGGTGTGTACACCGTTTAGGCTCCAATTGAATACTTCATTTGTCGTTTGAAGGCTGTATTTCCATCTGATTTTCCTCAGGCAAGTGTGAATGAGAGAAATCTGGCATTTCTTGCAGAGGCAGTAATCAGCTCAAATCATTATCACCTGCTGGTCAGCAAACAGGCAGAAAAACAGCAGCACAAGATGGCCGTCACAGTACTCCAGAAAAAAGAAAGACCACGAACTCCAGAAATATACATACATATATAGAATACAATGTGGTAAACACATAAAATGTATAACTTTTCAGGCAAATAACTCATACCACTCACCTGTTTAAATTATATTAAAGGGCCAGTTTGTGGCATTCAGGTGCATCTGTTATCAGGAGTTTAATATGACATTTGTTATGGCCATAACTTCTGGACACAGAGAGAAATCGCCCCCCCTCCCTTGCAGCCATGTGCTCTCAATCGGCTCCAAAACAAAACAGCAGGTTAAAGTAAAAATCAAATGGATTTATTATCCAAGAAGCATAAAAACAGATACAGACAGTTACAAACCGAATCACACTACTAATAACAAAACAAACCTATGTATAAAATGAAATGTGAGATCCAATCCGAGCCACCCAGGAGGCTGGTCTGCCTCCTCGGTGGCCAGCAGAAGATCTGAAAACCCCAGAGTTTCAAACCCTTTGTCCCCTCAAAGTTGCATTCCTCAGCTCATCGATCAGCTCATTGATTGGCTGAAGTCCAACAAGCCCCACCTGGGCCTATGCCCCATTGTCCTAAACTTCACACCTCTCCCAGCCACATTCACACAACCCCTACTCCAGCACATTCCTCAAACCCCCTCTCACAGACACTTAATGCATGAAATGACCAGACTCCTACAAGTAAATATACTGTATCATATTATATCCATAATTAGGAGCTTTAAAACTTAAATCTCTCACACATTCATAACTATGTTTTCATCGTTGAGTTTTCGTTATCTTAGAATAACCACCATGTGTTTTTCATTTTCTCAGATATAACGTATTCTATGAATATGTTGTATACTGTGATGGCCATCTTGTACTGTTGTTTTTCTCCCTGCCTGTTTGCTGACCAGCAAGTGATAATGATTTGAGTAGATTGCTGCCTCTACAAGAAAGGCCTGATTTTTCTCTTTCACACTTCTGAGGGAGATCTTGCAGATCAAATGGTTGCAGTAAAAAGAAAAACAACTAACAATTCATTTAAAGGGCCAATTCACCTAAATACATACAGATAATTATGATTTTATTGCCCACGTTTTAAAGGAAACCCATCTCTGAGATTTCTGCCTCCACCCCAATACAATGGTGGTAAGTGGAATTACAGTTGTGGTGCTCACACCATTGGAAAAAAACATTTCAGCACCAGATGTTTTTTCTGGAGACAATACACCGTTGTCTGTTAGAAATGTGTTCAAGTGTTATAAAAGCTGTTGACAGTGTGTTGTGTGAATTATGCAGTGTAACAGGGCCTCATGCAACAGTGTTTTAATATTATCCTGAGACTCTGACTTGATGAATAGAATAGTAATTTAGTTTTAAGTAAGTCATGAATTGTATTCTAATTACTTTCTGTATCATATTTAAACTTCAAATTAATTCAGATTAATGATTTCCTCATTATGATTTTCAGGTCAAATGAGGTCTTTCCCCTCTGTGGAAGGGCAGACTGAATTTTGTTGATACCTCAGAAAAATTTGTAAGTACGAGAAGATTGGTGAATGCCACAAATTCTCTTAAAAGACCAGTGTGTAGGATTTGGTGCCATCTAGTGATGTGGTTGCAGCCAACTGAATACCCCCCCGCTCACCAATCCATTTCCAAGACTGCTGTAACATTGTAACATGAGCCGCCGATTGCAAAACTGCGGTGATGCCGTTGGCCTTACCCACAGGCCATCCATACCATAATAACACTACTACAGGAGCTATGGAAGTCAGACGGCAGCTGGTGGTCCCACGGTTCTGCACTCTGCGGCTCACGTTACCACCGTTTCGCAAAGGGAGAACTACGGTGGCCTTCAGGTAACGTAAAAACCTGAAATATCCATTTCTGGGCCACTGTAGCAGTGCGACATGGCGGACCCCGTGAAGAGGACCCGCTCCCTATGTAGATATGAAGGGCTCATTCTAAGCTAACAAAAACATGATTCGTAGTTTCAGCTGATGATACACGAATGAAAACATAGTTATGAATATAATATATGTATTCCATCTCTGCTGATGGATCCCCCTAAATGCTACAAACTGGCCCTTTAAATCACATGTACTTGCCACAAGAACAAACTTGTTTGTATAAGTGTTCTTGGAAAAACAACCAGGTGTTGTTGACTTTTTAAACAAATTTTCCTAATGTTCAAATAAGAAAGGAATTCCATTCACCTTTATTGTGTTGGGATGGACACACAAATCTCACAGACAATTATATCCAAACAAAGCAAACCAAAACGATCTACAGTTAGAGACTAACAGTGCTGTGAACGTATTAAGTGCTGTGTGACTTTTTTGTAATGATTTCCATTGAAAAATCCTCGTTTTCGTGATGGAAAATAACGAGCTGGATGGTTGTTGTTCAAGTGTCATGAGGTTCATGTATACAGTATTTACTGCAACATAAAACACTCTTTTTACTGCATATCCGATGATAATAAAGGTTATTTTATAGACCTGCTGTTGAGAGGAAAAGGGACAAGATCTAACATCCACTGTCAATATAATATAGAACCTACTTAAACATGATTTAGATTCAACTTTATTGAATTTTATGGAAATGCAGTTCAAATACATAGTTAGTTGAGCCTCAAACTGTGTTGATATAACAGGTAACATTTTTCTTATATATATAAATATATGGAGTAATACATGTCCCCAGACCTCATTTAAAAAACAGAAAGAGAGAATTTTCCTGGTGGAAACTATTATATAGAATGTATTACACTATGAGCTGATCACTGTCAGTGAGAGCTGACTCTGGCAGTAGCAAACTGAATGGTATGTGCCACGATGGCAGTACTTTGATTGGTTGTTGCACAAATCCCGTCAGAAGTTCAGGCATTTAAGTCACATGCCACTTTCAGGGCCATTCAATACACTGAAAAACTCTGAAGCTCAGTGGTACTCTTGTATTAATGACAGTAAAGTGCTATCACTGTATACTATCCATCCATCCATTTTCCTCCGCTTATCCGGGGTCGGGTCGCGGTGGCAGCAGGCCAAGCAGGCTGACCCAGACCTCCCTCTCACCGGCAACATGTTCCAGCTCATTCTGGGGGATCCCGAGGCGTTCCCAGGCCAGCTGGGAGATGTAATCTCTCCAGCGTGTTCTGGGTCTTCCCCGGGGTCTCTTCCCAGTTGGACGTGCCTGGAAAACCTCCAGTGGGAGGCGTCCAGGAGGCATCCTAATTAGATGCACGAACCACCTCAGCTGACTCCTTTCGACGCGAAGGAGTAGCGGCTCGACACCAAGCTCCCTCCTGATGACCGAGCTCCTTACCCTATCTCTAAGGCTGAGCCCGGCCACCCTACGGAGGAAGCTCATTTCGGCCACTTGTAGCCGCGACCTTGTCCTTTCGGTCACGACCCAGAGTTCGTGACCATAGGTGAGGGTAGGAACGTAGACCGAGTGGTAAATTGAGAGCTTTGCCTTCCGGCTCAGCTCCCTCTTCACCAAGACGGTCCGGTGCAGCGCCTGCTTTACTGCTGCAGCCGCACCGATCCGCCTGTCGATCTCCCGCTCCATCTTACCCTCACTCGTGAACAAGACCCCGAGATTCTTAAACTCCTTCGCTTGAGGTAGGCACTCCGTCCCCACCTGGAGGGAGCAATCCACCGGTTTCCGGCAGAGAACCATGGCCTCAGATTTGGAGGTGCTAACTCTCATCCCCACTGCTTCACACTTGGCTGCAAACCGCCCCAGTGAATGCTGGAGGTCATGATCCAAGGAGGCTAACAGGACCACATCATCTGCAAACAGCAGAGAGGCGATCCCGAGACCCCCGAACCTAATGTTCTCCGCCCCGAGGCTGCACCTAGATATCCTGTCCATGAAAGTCACGAACAGGACCGGTGACAAAGGGCAGCCCTGGCGGAGGCCAACACCAGCCGGGAACGTGTCTGACTTATTACCGAGAATGCGGACACAGCTCCTACTGCAGTCGTACAGAGACCGGATCGCCCGTTGTAACGGGTCCAGCACCCCATACTCCCGCAGCACCCCCCACAAGAACCCCCGAGGGACCCGGTCGAAAGCCTTCTCCAAGTCCACAAAGCACATGTAGACTGGTTGGGCAAACTCCCAGAACCCCTCCAGTAGTCTTGCGAGGGTAAAGAGCTGGTCCACTGTTCCACGGCCGGGACGGAATCCGCACTGCTCCTCTTGAATCCGAGGTTCGACAAGCGGTCGGAGCCTCCTTTCCAGCACCCTGGCATAAGCCTTCCCTGGGAGGCTGAGTAGTGTGATACCCCGGTAATTCGAGCACACTCTCCGGTCCCCCTTTTTGAAGATGGGAACCACCACCCCGGTCTGCCATTCCATGGGCACTGATCCCGACCCCCATGCGTCATATACTATGCGACTGTATACTATAATCTTATTAAAAGATTGTGTACTATTTTTCGAAAATAGTACTGAATACTTAGTCAGTGTGAACATATTGATCCTCAGTGCGTCTGGTGGTTTGTGTATTTAGAATTGTGTGTTCATTGTACAATTGTTGATTCTACATGTATTTCTTTGATATTGATGAATGGTACCGGAGTACATAAATGTAAGAGTAATACTGATGGTTGGAAAAGTAAAGAATAAACCAACATAAAGTGTCTTAGAGATAAGATTGATTGATTGATTGCGGCTATCATTATCAATATACAGTATATGTCAGTAGTAGTTTACCCTCATACTAATTTGTAGTCTCTCTGCCTTTGAAAAATGAATTACAGTAGCTTTGCCAACAAAGACATCAATCCTTACAAAAAGCTCACAATTATATAGTACTTTTTTTATAGGCTCAGACATTTCCCTGAAAGAGCTGCTCAGTGTAGTTAACAATTGTTACTTTGTTTGGGACTATTTTCGGCTGCGGATTAACCCACATATGGTGCTCTAGTGAGTATTTCCGACAGCAGCACGGTGTATGTGGGATCGAGTCAAAATAAACTACAGTGTGTGCAGTTCATGGTAACGAAAGAACACGCCACCCATCGCACTCCTTCAACTTCCTCAGACTCGCTATGGACAATCTTTTTTCTCCACACGTTATTCTTTGTCAAAACCCTGTGCCTACATTACCCACAATGCCATTCAACTCAGACAGCTCAGTTGGAGATTCAAGCGTGTTGTGCTATGCACGGCTAATGTCGCCTCAAGCTGCTAGCCCTGAAGCGGAGATGAGGAGCGTCCAACAGAGGACTCGTAAACTCACTTTGTTCTGTGAACAAAACTAGTCACGTTATCAAAACTTGGTACGCATAGCGCACTGACTGGGCATGCCCAGGGGACAACCTCTGTTATTGAAAAGTGAAGCCAATGCAGAAGTGCCTGAAACCTGCATTCTCTCTAATGCCCATCAGGGGGCGACTCCTCTGATTATATGGAAGTCTATGAGAAAATGACTCTACATATCTCTTGATTTATTACCTCAGTAAACATTGTAAACATGGGTTTATGGTCTCAATCTCTAGTTTCATGTCTTCTTCAATACAGCATGATGTTCATTTAGTGGATTATGGTCCATTTAGAGTCAAATAGACCATAAAGCGAAGTATGCTTTAGGGCGGGGCTACATTGTGATTGACAGGTCACTGCCAGAGCTGTATACGGTGCGTCTACATCACGCCTCTGCATTCCAAATATGGTCACTTCCGTTCACTGGAAGATGGCGACGGCCTTCGTCCAAGATGGCAAACTCGAGGCTTCAAAACCTCTTCAAACACTTCCTGGATTGAATCACGTCATCTAGGTTCTATGAATAATTTTAACCAAGAGGAAAGACACAGCGATATTGTAAAATAAATGCAATTCCATGTTATGAAATGTCTACCAGGTGCCTCGAAGTCAAGACAGTTATGTTTCTTCAAAAATGTATTTAGTTTGGTTCAGATTATTGATCACGTGCTGCATCACCAGAGGAACTCATGGTGCTCGATCAATCCAATCTTGTAACCTGCGTCAATACCTTGAAGTACAGAGAAGAGACAACAATATCTTGTATTGACGTTCCACCGAGCACAGCCCATTCAATCTCACCAGAAAACTGAGAGAACGCGCCGTACCAGAGCCTCTTTTATTGAGTCATAACGGCGACAAACAGCGATGAATACAGCATGAGACACTTTGGATTGCTTCTCATCGTCAAGACAGGAGGAAGTTGGGTTCCCCAGGAGCACATGAAGCTTTAATTAAACAGTTGGAGGGCACAGTAAAGATGCACAACAACCCAATCTGGTAGAACCTGAATCCCTATCCCTCAGCTTCATTTCAAATGCAACACATTGACTTGTGTTTTTTGTATTTTTATTTTATTTCAGGCGAAACTAGCCAATGGAGATCAATTGAAAAGGAAAAAAAATGTCAAATCAACATGACACTCAAGAAAGTTAACATATTAAAAAACATCAGACAAAGACACACATAGAACATTGAAGTCAAAGAATATAAAAGCTTCTGTTGGGCGGCTCAATATTATATACAATATCTTACAAGATCAAGAGACTCCAGAACATCAACATTCCGTATGTTTCGTCCTTGTTTAGGGAAAATCTAAAGGAGAGAGGATCACATCCACATGAAAGGAAAGATCTTATGCACATATTTCAATACATCATATAAACTGCCTCATCGTGAATTAAGTGGAAACTTGCGAAATAAAAAAGCGGTGTCTTGATGTTTCCTCCCACAAAAGCAGTTCAGCCAGCTGAAAACAGAAGCCGATTAGAGCAGCTGCATGACAAGAGTCCACACCTTGACGATCGCGTCTTCTTCAACTTTTTACGATCCGATTGGACTTTTATGGATCCTTGCATGCATACTGAAACCTGCTCCAACTATGAAAGAGCACATAAACCTTCAGCTCAGGTAAAGATGAGTAACTTAACAAAGTGGAAAATGGAAGATTTTAATATTTTATGCGAGGCCCGAGTCCGAACTAAATTAGTTTTAGTTGAAGACATTTGATACAGGTCGGAACAGGAGGGAAATCCTCCCACACAGAGCAGATTTCGGGATTTTTTTCCTCTCAGGTAAAGGAATTTACAGCTTGCCCCGTCTCAAAACGTTCCTCGAGCAAAATAACTGGAAAACACACGGAATCATCACCTCGTCCATCCTCAGCTCTGTGTTCCTGCTTGCTAGAGGATGAAATGTTCAATCAATCCGAGTACAGTTGGGACACGTTGAAGCGGCAGAGGAAGCACAGAATGCGGAAGCCTACGATGACGACCATGTGGGGATATTTCTGAGACCGTTGCTCAGAGTTTTAACTGGAATGGAGGATTCTTTGAGAGTTACTATGTATGCCAATGATGACTGTATAACTAGGCTGTTACCACAAAAACTAGGAGTGCAGTAGCTGCAGAAAATATGGATTCCAAGGTACATCGGGAGTTCATTGTATTTTATATCATTGACTTTAATGAAATTCCCAAACTGGGACCGCAGACCATGTGCTTCACTTTCACACCTGTAGTTCAGCTCAGTTGGTCAGATCGAAGAGAAGAGGAACATTGTTGCCTTTTAGATGTTGTGTTCACACTGGCTATTTTTATGACAGCAAGTCATGCTGCACTTCACTGAGCCTTGTGTGTTATCTGGTGTCCAAAAGAGCTCCTAAAGAAATAACTGATAATGACTGTGACCAGTAAAGACTGAAACCGGATGGCGTACATCAGAGCTACAAACAAGTACAGAGGGAGAGCAGTGGGCTAAAATGACATATTTACTACCACCGGACCCTGTGGTTGGTTGTGCTTTCACATCACAAATTAACCACTCTCGAGTCCTCTTGGATCCTCTCTGGTGCGGACTAAACAACTGGACCAGGACCCTCCTTTTTTTTCCAGACGGTCCGGTTCCAAGCATTACAACCACCTGATGTTCTGATGCTGGACGTGTTCATTCAGCACACACTACCTATAGATCCATCTACTGATCGACATCTTAGAAGCATTGCATCTATGCATGTAGTGATCACCACCCCCCCACCACCACCACCACCACCATCGGTCAAGTCAGAGTCATCATGAAGCAGACCAGGACTGAAAGGCCAGAACATGTCCCCGGTCTGGACCATATGAACTGGTCTACAGGTGAGAAAGAGACCATCTAATTTACTCGTGAAAATGTACATTAGACATTCTTTTGCATTCTGTGGGACATTTCAAGTGGATTAAATTTAAATTAAAAGATTCCTTATTGTTCTTGGGAGGATCCTGGGAACCCTCTAGGAGTCCTCAGGAGGTCCCTGGACTCCACTTTGCACCGCAGAGCCCACAGATCCATAACTATGGCAGGCCGAGGCCCCATCACTGTAGTTCTCAATATTTAATTGACAGTGTCTGACTGAGACCCCCCTCATGTCCTCAGTCACACTCAGTAGTAGGTGCACCAGTTGCTGGAATCACTGGGCATCAGGCCGCCGGTGATGAGCAGGATCAAGTCCACGAACCACCAGATCCCCAGCCCTCCCAGGGTGAGCAGCTTCCCGACGGCGGTGCCGGTGTGGCCCAGGCAGAAGCGGTCGACCCCGAAACAGCCCAGGAAGAAAGAGTACAGCAGCGTGGTGATGAAGTAGTGGCCGGTGTATCTGTGCAAGAGGTCATTGTAACGATATTTAATACCACGAACCTCAATCATTGTGCCGATATTCAAAGATGATACAAACACATTTCAAATGAAGCTAGGAATGCAAAAGTGGGAGGGTGGTGGCTCCATACATTTGTAGACATTGCCCTCTAGTGGCGACGTCCCGATGCCACGGACGTTGGTCTGAATGAACCGGATCACTATTTGTAGATCTGGGAGCATGTACAGCAATACTGCATGTCTTTTCGAGGTAAATCTGTAATCTTGTCCGAGTTGCTCTACCAATACTTTGAGTGCGTGTATCAGTCAAAATATATATACTGTGTATCCTGTGTTCAGTCTCTGCTGCCAGCCATTTTTAACTCATTACCAAAACAGACACCTAAATCTAGCTAGCAGTTATTTGGACAGGCAGCTTTTAGAACTTTAAATGTATCTAGACTGGCCTAAAAAAAAAAATGGATGCGTTTGCGGGACGTCTTGAAACATTGTTTATGCCTTTTGTGCGAGAAGACATTGTCATCATATAACTGTATGATATTATAGACATTTACCTTTACAGCGTCATTAAGTGGTGAAGCCAAAGAATATGAAAAAAAAGCAAACAATAATTTCGATTTTACCTGGGTATTAAATTGAAACATCAGCTAATTTAAAAGATTGTATTCTAAAACATGAGCATGCATTTCAAATATTCTATTAATTAAGACAATAAATACTGTTGTGTGTTTTGGGTGCCAGTACAGCCACATGTCCCTTACTTGATGCAGGGCACGTTTCCTCTGAGGAACTCTCTGGATCCGGCACACTCGATACCGTCCAGGGCGAAGCAGAGAACCCGTGTGTGGTTCACCTCTTTCTGAGTCTGGCCCCCCCACTAAAAGACAGAAACAGTAAAAAATAATTTTAAAAAAAATCAAGTGCTGGGTGATTAACAATATCACATGTTCTTTAAAACAAAGAAAGAAAAAGCAACAACACTTACCCCGAAACAACCGTGGCCCATCTCCAGGAAGGCGCTGTGGTTCTGTGACTGATCGACCGGGTCCTGACAGTAGATGAACTCCTCTGGTCTTCATCATGCATCATGTGTGTGAAGGAAGATAAAGAGTGAGGAGTGTGAGCTGGTACGCCACTGCCATGAAAATGACACGACAATCAATTGAATTACAGATATCCACAATGAAAAACACTGTTTTTAAAATGAAAAACACTGTTATTAAAATGACACAACGTCCTCTGGTTTTAGGCTCGACCTCTCTAATCTCGCTTCTCACAGCATACATGACAGGCCCACCGTTTATTATAAGACCTCACAGTACATTCTGCATACAACAAATCACCAATACAGGAACAGGGCCCTCTTTTCATACTAAAGAAAGGTCCACAGCAACTCGCAGCTGTTTCACACTGGACAAAGCAAAAGATAATACTTATATCGTATTATGTGACATTCTGAGTGTAGCGTTGATTTAAGAACAGTATACATTTCGGAAACAGCGCTGCTTTTGGGAACATAAGTGGATTGCTGATGGATACGTGAGCGCGATTTGACAGATCTCTGAAAGCTCTCACAACAGCAGCCGTACGTAGCTAGCATTAGCATCAACATTAGCCTTAGCATCAACGTTAGCTAGCCTACCAGCAACAGCATCCTACCCAGACTACTGTGCCGCTTCCTGTTACTTACAGATAGCTGCAGAGAACGACTGGAGACGGGGGTCTGTACTCGTAGCGCTCTGTATTATTCGTATTGTCTCCGGATATCTCATCTTTCCCGATTTCCGGCGGCTGCGAGCTGAATGGGACCGCGGTAGGAGAAGCAGCCGGAGTCTCCGCTGTCGAGGAGTTTTCCGAGTGAATTCCTTCCAGACATTGTAAGAGAATCGACAGTAGCAGCAGCAGCTGTCCGCACAGCAGAATGTAGCTCACTGAAATCATTGTCACCCTCAAAACACTACAGTTATTCTAACGCCATAACCGTTCATGGTTAACAGTGACGTTTAGCTAGCTAGCTAACCTGCGACGGTTTGTTTTTGTCGCGTGTGTATGATGCGACAGAGTTACGTCATTTAAACCCGCCTGGATTGTTTTTTTCTGTTCTATTTTTTGTGCAACTTGATTTATTTATCTGTATTTATTTTAGAACTACAGTGACAAAGTAAATCCTGTACAACTCAAGTGAGGCTTCCTGTTCAAACCAGAATCACAGCTCTTAACATCAATTTGCCTACTAATAGGACATAGTGATGAACTAGTTATTGTTGAACATAGAGAAAAACAAATAAACATTATTGAAATATATTAAATAAATACCATTGGAATGTTTTTTGTCACCTTACATTTTTTTTAATTCAAGTTATGCCTATAATTAAACTCATTAACACAGGCAAAACCTTCGAAACCTTTGTGGATATAAAATGAAGACAGATGCAGCAACCTTATTTCTGGCCTCAAACGTTTTCAGAAACACATTTCGGTGAACTGTTTTCGTGATAGAAGAGTAGAGCTGTCATCCAAATCGCAAGCTTTTTCTTTTTTCTTTAATACTGCAGTTGCCCATACAAAGTAGCTACGAATTGTTGCATGCAGTATGCATTAAATTGGGACATACTACTTCTTAACATTGCACCTTGCACTTTGACCCTCTTGCTTATATATCTGCTGTGCAGATTGTGGTCAAAATAGCATAAAAAAAAGCATGCTGGCTTGTATACTGCAAAATGTGACCAGATGTAGAGGAACATCCTGGTATTTTTGGCAGACTGCATTTGATCTATGTATTGTGACATACTAATCTTTTTCTGGCACACTAAATAGTCTGGTAGTATGGGTATAGGAACACACAGACAGTTACGTTTAAGTTTTTTTTAAGTTAAAGTTTTTTTTAAGTTACCCAGATCTTCCTGCGATCTTCCGCATCTATTTCCCATAAAGCACGTGCACTAGTGTTTCCTTTACTGCCGCCTCCCTGCCAGCTCATCAGGCTCGTTCACATTAACAGAGTATATGGGCTATTCAAGCGTTCGTATTAGGAAGTAGATTTACTTCCTTCCCAATGGAGGTCTATGGGAAAATGTCTTTTTGGGCCCCATGGCATCACGTGACGGAAGGCAGGAGCATGAAGCGACGTTCACAGCGTTTACAAACGCCAGCTGTGGCGATGTACAACTATATTACAACATCAAACGACAGGAAAAAAGAGATGAATAATGATGTCATCGGCTTTCCATAACTTCCATGAACCAATCAGGATTTGGCAAAAATTTAATCATAAGTCTGGTAACAGTTAATGGGTTGTTGGTGACTTTCAATCCAATCTGATCGAACCAGCTTGACTCATAGACAGTATATGGTTTGACTGTTCAACTCTTAATAAATAAAAGATGTGTTTGACTTGTATTTAATGTTGTAAAAAATACTTGAATCCAAGTTTCCAGTGGATTTAAAATCAACTACACAATGGGACTTTTCTGATGAATATCATTTTCCATCATTTATTGTATTGCAGTTTTTGAAAAAAAAAAAAACACGACAGATAGATTGATTCTTTAAATGCAAAGAAAGCTGACATGTTTTACGATATTCATTTCAAATGTGTTTGTGTGTACTACAAAAGTTGGCTTGGAACATTTTGGGAACTTTCACAGGAGAAACGTGGACATATCTTATGAGGTTTTATAGTAAAATGTATTGAGTTATTTGTTTAATATTTATAATTTCATATTTTATATGCCAAAGGTCAGTTTAATGTTTCATGTTTCAAATTAAAGACATTTTCTGACTTTAGAAGAGCCGTTAATTCAGCACCTTTTATAATCCACTACGCAGCACCTCATTTCCATAAAATCACATCTGATTTTATTTAACAACTAAGTTACATTTGTAGGGATAAAATGCTCATCCCCACACAGCCATTCAGTCTTCAGTCATGAAAGCAACAGGATGCAGGTGTAGACTTTACTATTACACAACTTTCATTTTGACACAAGTTCAGAGTCACTCCCAAGAGAGACCGGCATTCTGTTGCATCTGTTTGCATTCTGTAGGTGGGACCGCATGCAGGTGGGGATGGAGGGGGGACTTCAAATCAGAAAGGAACTGCTCTCAAGTCAGCAGTATTTAAACAACATCAATCAAGTTCAGCTTCGTCCACTGAGTCCTTCTGGTCTGTTTTCTGTAGCAACTCGGGGCCGAAATATTTCGATCTCCCAACGCCCACAACAGGAACAGAGGACAACATCATGGGAGAGGGGAAGTAGTCCCGGCTGTGGACGCCTGGATATGCTCTGAAATCCACTCTGGACGGCGCTGGTGGGATAAAATACTGGGCTGATGCTGCGGAGAAGCTGGAGTAGGGATAAAACAGAAAGCCTCCAAAGTGGGAGAGGCTCACCAGGTCCTGTTAACAAGGGACGAAAATACAACATACAACACATTATCTGCTGTTAAGGAGTTAACTAAAGTGACAATCACCTGGCGTAAGTGTAATTTTAAGGTACTTTCAGAAGAAAATTAAATTAATTTGACAGCTGTGACTTTGCCAATTCAGATCATAAAAAATTATGAGTTTATAAAATACTTAACTGAGTTAAAATTGGCTCCCCGCCGACAGACTAACATTAAAATGCTGCTAAAGGATGGTTTCACAAGTTTTCCCATATGAGCATTTAAAACGTTTTTTGTCTCGCTGTAATCGTTCCTCCTACAACTGGATGAAGATCCCTTCCTGACACACTTACAATGTCAGTAATGGAGGACAAAACCTACGGTACTCGTTCTGTGTAAAATAAGCAACGTTAAACCTCGGTCGTACTTTCCACATGGACGGCCTTCACGGACACGAGCGAGGGAACGCTTGGATCTTTGCTACTCCGAGCGGGTTTCTCCTCACATCTATCCAACGTTCTCAGAGCTCCTCAGAGTTCTGCACCTTGTGTCAGTATAGTTAGAAGATGTTGGTTGAGCACGGAGAGGGCGAAAAGCTGCCACACAGAACCCCCCGCTGAGGGTCGTGTCGGCCATCGCGGATGCGGAAGGCATGAATCACCCTTTAGTATGAGGCTTCAGCGGACTGAGTTGGAAAATCGAGCTGAAGTCTTTTTCCTGCAAAATGTCATCCTTGAGTAACTATTACAAACACACAGATACAGTTCTGCACTTGATTCGTGGAACTCAGACTGAAGCATCACACTAGCTTCAAATATCTCAAATAACAACGTAAAGTACTTCAACTTTACTTTTCTCATTTCCAGAGTTTTGTTCTTTTTACTCCTTTTACTAGCATTAGAAATTTAGATCATAAAAAACAATGATGTGTTCAGGAAATGGTTAATGGCAAAACATGAGAATGCTGTTTACATTTTATTATGGCAATAATAATAATGATCAATCAAGTATTAAAATATGGACCAAACCTGAAAGAATATTAAAGCTACTCCAAGCAACATTTTAATGTTGTGTCCCTTTTTGACAAAAAGGGACCGTTTTGAACATTTACTTGAGTAATAGTGAAATGTAAAACACTGAGTTCTATAAGCACGTCATGTGTTTTTAAAGAAGCGTTCCGCTGGTCTGTGTACCTGTAGCGGCGCGTGCTGTCGGATGCCGATGGGGAACCCTGGAGCTCCCGGAGTCCTGGCGGGTGCTGCCAGTCTCAGTCCGCACGGCGCTGCTCCGTCCACGGCGGCGCCGCCGTTCCAGCCGTTCACCTGGGTTGAGCCGAGAAGACCGTCGGGGACACTCGGATCCTGCAGATGTCGGTTCACTTCCGGTGGATAAACGAGGCTGTGTGCGACACCGCAGCGTAGTTTGCCCACTTGTTCCCTCTCCGAGTCTCGTCGCCCGTAGCAACCGCCTCCGCCAGTTAATATGCTGATGACGTGGCTTCGACTGGGGTCCGTTTCTTTCTGCCCCTCGACCGGAGTCTCCGCTGTGGAGACCTTAGGCTTAGTCTGCGTCCCGATCACCGCTTGTCCAGGACCGTCCTCAACATCGTCAGCTCTGTCACTGTCACTTTCATGAGCATCTTGAAGAAGAAGAAGAAAAAAAGACGCATGGGAAAGTTAGTTTTGATTCATGTTCATGGACTCACCGAATGTATCCTATTGACAAAGTTAGCATTATAATGTTTCTTCTTTACCTGGAGATTTAGAATCGTCTGAATGCCGTGGAGATGATTCCTTCACAGGTTCATATTTCACATCAGTCGTCCGCATCTCTTTAGATTTTTGTGATGGATGTTGTAGTTTCCTGATGTAACGAAGAAATAACTATCTGTGATGATACATAAAATAGCTGATGATTCTAATCATTGTTGTAGAACCATTCAGCGAGAATTCCTTCAATTAGAAGTGGATTATTTGTGCTGCATATTCACCATATCTTTCAAGGGGGGAGTCAGTGATTCTGGAGGATGATTGCTGGTATTTGAACTCAACATCCAAACAAATACCTTACTCCAGATAAACCGTCTCTCTCGCTTTCTCTTTAAACATCCATGGCCTTGGTACGAAAGCCCTGAGGGGCAAGTAAGAAAAAGAAACGTTTTGCGGATCCATTTTCCAAGTTGTTTTCTCTCCTGTGTTCATGATTCGACAAAAGGCGAGAGAGAAAAAAAGCTCTTGCTGTACATTTTCTAAGTTACTTTTTTTATCTGTGAAAACAGGTAGGAGAAAAAGCTTTATGTGTTTTTTGTTGTTGTCATAATCACTTTTCTAAGTGTTTGTTGTAGAAATACACAAGAGGCTGAAGTGCAAAGTACCCTACAAACTAAATAGGAGTAAAAACGTTCATGTTTTCTTAGGTGAGTTTTTTCAGTCCTATTTAGAGTGTTGGTGCATTTCAGCCTCTTGTGGACAAAAAAAGTACAACAACAACAAACTTTTTCCCCCACCTGTTTCACGATGAAAAAAAATAGGAACACAATTATCGAAACCTTTTTTGCACCTGTTCTTAAGTCATAAACACAGGAGAGAAAACAATTTGGATTAGAATCAGAAAATGGATTACCAGATTATTTTTTCTCACTTGCCTCTCAGGGCTTCCATACAGTTTTCAGCATACATAAAGAAGGAACAGTATAGGTGACCGTGAGGGTAAATCTGCTAAATTTGAATAAAAGTGTATTGTTTGTCCACTCAGTGTTGACCAGAGTGGCCGTTCCAGTGTAAAACTGACTTGGTAATACTGGAAGCTGCATGTTGACTTTAACAGGCTTGGACCTTGAGCTTCTCTCTGAGTGCTCCATTCTACCAAAGAGGAAAAAGCTTTTCTTCAGCTGCTCTGGCAAGTTTATGGTTTGACATGTTTCAATTTGCACTAACTTCGCTGCACCTTATAACTTTGGAGATATCTTTCTGTGGTTTTACCAGATAGCAGATGCAATGTATGTAAGCAATTCAAAATTAAATTGTTTTCGTGTTATTGCTGTCAACATCATGCAGGGGTGAAAATACCCTGAATGATTCTATAGTTGAATATTATTTCATGGATTCATCAAAAATAAAACAAAGTTGATCTTTTCCATATATCTGAAGTGATCTTCAGATTTTAGAAAAGGAAAAATAATATTAAATGAATTGCTACATTGATTATCAATTCATTGTTATGCCATTTTTCTCTGCAACAAAATCCAACCAACGAATGTTTCAGTTTGTGTCTCTGGTTAAGTCAGGAGCTATTAAAGCCCACACACAAAGGGCACCAGATCAGCTTTCTTTCATTTAAGAAATGTTCCAAATGTTTTTCAAGCAGATTAGATTTCTGTCATGCTCTCTTCACCGGTCTTTTACAACGATTCATTGACAAACTACAATTCACTCTGAACTCTGATGCCAGGCTTTTTAACTATGGAGTGAGAAAGAGAGAGTATCCGTCCAGTTTTAGTTAACCAATGTCTTTTAGGATTGGTTTTTAACTTCTTTCACTTTTTTACAAGGCTCTTGATGCTTTGGGGCCGGCCTACATTACTAATCCATCATGGCCTCTTAGATCCTATGCTGCCCTTTCTTTTTCTTAATTTCCAACAATCACACAAATAAGAAAATCTGCAGCTCGGCGGTTTTTAACTATATGCACCAACACTATGGATTTAAGGTGATAAGAGATGCGAGCTCTGTGAACATTTTAAAATGACAATTGAAAAGGTATTTATTCATCAACAACCCGCCACTCTTCTCTTGTTTGACACTAATCATATACATGTTGTATTGTTCTTATTGTTTCCTCTGTTTTAATCATTTACATGTTTTGTTTTGTTCTAATTCCTTTGTTTTATTGCTTGGTTTTATCGTGCAGTGTTTAGGGTCAATCTGTCTGTTTTGATTTATTCTCTGGTTCCTTCACTTTGTTGTGGAGCACCTTATATGACTTCCATTGTATGGAATGCGCTATATGTATAAAGTATAAAGTTTAATATTACTACTACTATTATTATTATATAATTATTGTTATAACAAACAATACCAATATACTCACATACAGAAAGGGGCTATTCTGCATAATGTGTACTTTTATTTTGTAACATTTTGCATGATAACTGCACGTCAGCATTTAGATCTGTGGCACAGAGCTCAGGGAGCTGAACAATGATGATAATAATAAAATACCCTTTAATATGGCTTTTGCACACTGTAACCCAAATATGAAGGTCTCATTGAGTCATAAAGTGGATGATAACTTGCCTCTTCTCTCTCCTCCCGTTTCCCGTGTCTCGGAATCCCTTCGCGAAAGGATTGTTGTCTATTTTCAGCTGCGTTATCTGAAAGTTGGTGCAAAGGAGGGAAAGAGTTCTTCACTTTGTTGAATTTTGTGATATGCTTAACTAGCAATTGAAAACGCCTCTTTTTTCCCTCCACACCTCTCACCTTGTCGTTTTGGTAAGCCGTCACTGCGATGAACTCGGTCTCGCAGAAGACGTAAGTCCTGAAGGTGCTGTAAGGCAGTTTCAGGATGTCGTTTGTCTTCACGATGTGGAATCGTGGCTGATACTTGTGCATCGAGTTGAGAATTGTCTGCAAATTAAAAAATTATAATGAAGTCAAAACCATATATTTGGTAAATAATGTGGGGGGAAAAAATCCTCAATTGTCTTGTTGTATGTCTTTAAAATGAATTAATAATGGTAACGATATAAGCAGGAACATAATATTAAATTCAATGATTACTTCATGCTTCACAGCAAATCTACAATTTAACTTATAAACACATATCTTGGTTATTATTATTATTGAAATTCACTACATTTTCAAAAGCAAAATCAAAACATACGAATCCGTGCTTATCGGACATGTTGTTGGTCAGTTTCAGCTTGTGGAAGTTGACCACTTTGGACATCCACTGCTCGCCCGTGGCCGGGCTGTCCGGGTGGATGTACATGCGTTTGGGCATCTCCGGGTCCGCCTTCCCGGCCACCATCCAGCGGGAGTTGTGGAACTTATATCTGCAGTCGTCGGCCGCCACAATGTCCATCAGAAAGACATACTTGGCTTTTCTGTCCATGCCGGCGCACCTGGTCCTGAGCGGCGGGAACATGCGTCTGTGTGGAGAGGACAGATAACGGCGTGAGGCGTTCATTAAAACTCAGTAAAGCTTTCCATCCCGTGCGTAAATATTAGACGTTTACTGTACCTCCCGGATTTCGTAATGACCATTTCAGTGCCGCATTTGTGGAACTGTGTCCAAAGGTCGCTGGCTTCCAAATAAACTTTCGGCTCGTCCTCCGTCATCTCCCCTTCCTCCAAAGTATCGGGAGGCCTGCGCAAAACCAAAGACTCGTGCTCCGGTGGTGACGTGTGAATCACCGGGTCCGTGCTGGCATCCAAACCGAGATCCGATGAGCCTCGGGAGGACAGGGCCGTGGCTGAGAACAGCGAGGGTCCGACCAAGATAGTTCCGTGCAGGGCTGAATCTCCGACTCTCGTGCACGGCACCGAGAAGCTGCGCATGATCTCCAATATGGGAAAAAAGAGGAAACTTTTACGCACGACTCTCGTCAGGTTACACTTTTACGCCACTTTGATTCCTGCGGAATTCACGTATCTGCATAATTTTAAATTATTAAAACTCAGTAAAGGAAGCAGCTTTATTAATATTTGTTTTGCCTTGGATGTTTTGTCCGGTGCGGTCAGATGCCTCCCAGCCTGCGTGCAGCTGATTTGCTCCTTGACACGTTACTGGAGTAGTTCACCCAGCAGTGGGTGGAGTTCCCTGCTGTTGCACTTCATGTGCAAAAAAAAATGCTGCTTCAAATTTCTTCACTGGCTGATGAAGCTGCTCGGGACAACTTGGAATGAAAATCCAGCTTTATTAATCATTAAATCCTCGCACCAAACCTGAACAATTACAGGCATAGACCACTTTATCAGACACATAACTGAGCATCTCTAACTTTCTTCCCCTCAGTTCATCATATAATCACTCTATAATCACTTGTCTGTCTGTTTCTCCCCCATAAGCACCGCGATGAACACCATAAGTGCACTATCAACCCAACATTCTGGTAAACTGACTTTCTGTCTTCCCACATCGCTCCAGCGACCTGTGGTTTGATTAGCTCCACTAATGTGCTCTCTCCACCCCATGCAGCGGGTCTGCAGGGATTCATATCTGTGGAGGTGCAGACCCCTTGCCAGCGATTGTCCCCGGATGGATTAGGGCTCTGGGTTCAGTTACAGGCTTTTTTATTGCTCAATGGTCCGTGACAGCGGAGGAAAGTTCCCGCGGGGAGAACTGTCTGTGAGTGAGTGCGGCAGGACACGAGGAGGTGGTGCTCAATATGAAGTCGCATACAACCATAGTGTGAAAAAAAGACAATTACGCACACATAATTATTGAAATTAAAGCTCTTAAAATAATTGTGTTTGCTTTGTTGCGTCCTTTGTTGGCTTCTTCCACCTCCATCTAATGATGAAGGCCCCAGCATGTGACTGAAAAGCTCAGAGAGAAATCTAGTAAGTGGTCAGATTTTTGTTTTAGTCAAAGAAGAATATTTACTCATAACGTTAGGCTATATTATTGCACGTTATGTTACTTTACATTCAGGGGCGGAGCGGGGCTTTTGTTTTCTCACAAGCATTGGATCGGCAAATGAACGAAGCAATTTATTTGCATTGTATCAATATAACAGAGAGTCTCAGAGAGCTTTGCAATCTGTACAACATATGACATCCTCTGTCCTTGCACCCTCACATCAGAAAAGGAAAACAAAACAAAAACCCTTTTAAAAAAGTAGTAGAAAAGTAGAAACCTCAGCGCAATAGATGTGTATAACAGCATAACAGAATTACAACATGGTCCATATGACAGAAATGATACATACAATGACAGTAGTAACAGCAGTAGTAGCACTAATAATACAGTAAAAATCAAAAAATGATGACTGCTAATACACATCCATTCTGTGATCTCTACTCCATCACAGTGACACAAAATGGGGTTTGAGATGAATGTTATGTAATTTAGAATAATAACATCAGACAATGATAGGTTTAGGTTGCAGGAGTGAAAATGAGTCATCCTCAACATGTGTTCTGGTTTCAGAATAATGAAGACAGCTGATAAACAATTCCATACGAAATAGGATGGGGACTCTATGATTTATTTTCATCGCAAACTTTCGTGTTTTTCCCCAATGATGTAAAGAATTAAGAACTAAGAACTGCATCCATCTACATTGGGGTCGTCTGATATTTTCTACAACCCAAAACTTATGCCAGGACATATTGTGGAAGACATTAACAAAAGAAAATCCCCACAAATGAGCTATGTTTTTATGACGCATCTCTGTACTCTCAGGGCGTTACGCTCACATTCATTTTCAGGGGGCACAGACAAAAATTTCAGGACACTGTTTTGAAAAAATAACATTAATAGGCCTACATCTTTTTTTAACCTAAGACATGCAGTATGAAAAAGACAGAAGGGCAAACAGAAATAAAGACATCTCTAAAGAACTTTGAAACAAAGGACGTAGTACTTGGAGTGGAACAGGGAGATCTTTTCCAGTAATGTATGAACAACTGAGAGAATGAAACCCCAGATTGTTTTCACTAGAAACGATTTGTCAAGTTGTTAGAACTACATAAACACTCAGTCCACTCACAGTTTTAAAGTGCAGCTTAGTCTTTGGCAGCGTTTCCTTCTATGATATCGTTGACGCCACAGCTACGGTTATTCTTTTTTTCGTGTAAAAATGAAGTTCAACACCTATAAATACATTAACGGCAGAGTGCAGATACATGAATATGCCGAGAGTGTGTCTCCTCTCTTCTCTGACTGCAGCTGGGACTGCTGTGCAAGGCTGCTGTGAGAGTGACCACCTGTGAGTGCTTTGGGGCGGCTCACAGCAGCACCTGCTGCTCGTTCACGACAGTGTAGAACGGTACGTGCTTTCACGTCAGAGTCAAAACACCAGAAAACTCTCCATTAACACCAGAACAAGTCACTAGATTTGTCGCTAGTAGCTTTTGACAAAAAAGTCTCCATGAGGGTTTGGAAAGTCGCCAGATTTAGCGAGAAAGTCGCCAAGTTGGCAACACTGACACCGACTAAATGTGTCCCCAGAGCAACATTGGACATAACAATAGTTCCTGTCACATATAAAACCAAAGAAAAATCCATCTTCATAAAAACAAGTTGTACAAATAATAATATATAAACAAGCTTATTGAAGCTACTGCAGATGTAAAAACAAAAGCAGTTAACTTACCAAAGCTGTTGATCACTTAAAGACAAAGTCCATCCTCCTTTCTTTGTTAATGAAGAGTTTAATCCCACGGCTGTTCAGTACATCCGTGCGTTTTAGTTCCACTAAGAAGTCTTTCTCGATTCATGGACGCCAGTGAAGACAGTCGAGCCTCCCCAGTTGTATTTCTTGAATACGTTTTAATGCGTTTGAGGGCTGAAAATGTCCGCTCGACAGAGGCAGCAGATATTGGGATTGTCACCACCCAACATGTCACGCTAGCCCACTGACCAATCACGTATGGCTAGGCCAGCTAGCAGGCTCTGACATGTCAAAGAATACGCCCAACATGTCAAACTAAAGATCTGATTGGTTGAAGACTATGACAATCAACAATATCGTCCCCATTCACTTAAACTGCAAAGGGATTCACTTGTGAGTCTGCAGGCCTCGGGCCTCTCTTCTTACCTAGATACACAGAGGTGAAATCTGATTGGATAAAAGCTCTACTTAAAAGAAGCTGCACTGGAAGCAGAGCACCTGACGAAGACAGTAGCTGTGTAATGAAAAAATAGATAATAGGGGAAAAAAAAGAATACATGTAGTGTATTTATGAAAAATGATTAAATTATAAAATAGCTATAAATTTGTGATTCTGTCTAGGCCAGCAGAGAAGGCCGTGCTTGCCCTGACGGCCCACCACTGCAGAGAAATGCTTTCACTGTAGAGCCTGTCGGTACCCAACGCAGTCTCACGACAGTTTGTGAAATAGTTGCAAAATGCAATTTCTAGGCTTCGCGAAGCCCTGTTCGCAAAATGTCCGGGGTTTTTTTCGTGTCTCTCGGCACAACTTTTTTTTTCAGAACATTACATTAAAAACGAAAATGAGGTAAAGGCAACAAACCTTATGGTTAGGTTAAGGAACAACATCATGGTTGGGCTTAAAATACCTACGTACAGTTACGTTGAAGAAAACTGACAAAAACAGTTTGGGAAACCACTACCATAAAACCACAACGCGGTGTCGTACACAGTTCTTCTGCTTGAAAGTCCTGTTTGTTGTCAGTTGCTATGAATGTTGCTTGGTGACATGGCTGCATTTCATTTGTTTATATAAGGCTCCTTATTGACCTTCCATTGGCATTATTGTCGAGCAACGCAAATAAAAAAATTGGAAAATTGGTGTCCCTGTACACAGAACCAATAGACTGCATTTGGTGACTATTTCACGACGACGCATGATACTGGGCTGTGGTACCATGACTCAGCCCTGAACCCACACTGAGACCGATTTTTTTTCCACTCGCAATGTGCGTTCACTAGGTTGTACTTAACTATCATGATAAGTGGGATTGGGATGATTTCAATTGGCCATCTTTGACCCGTTGTACATGTTTGTGGTGTTTTTTTAAAGCGGAAAATGTTGGTCGTACACCGGGCTAACAGTGACTTGCGGTAATGAAATTAGTTTATTCTCCTTGGAAAATAGAAGAGCAGAAGCCACTGTGCTTAAAGTCCGATGTCAATGACTGTCCACTTATTTTTAGCGTGTCAGAACTTCTAAGTCGTGGCCTTAGATGAAACAATGGTAAGGGGTATCAGCAGTTTTTCTAAAAGCATCACACCGAGGCTTGTATTTCAGCAGGGACTTTGCTGTGAAATCGGGAAAGGCCTCACACTGGACCTTTTTGTTACAGCTTCCCAACGGCCCTCTGATCGGATGCCTAAGTAAGCACACGTCTTATTCGGTGGTCATTCAAGATATGCAGTGGGTGGCGGAGCTGTCGATGACCCAATCTTTTTCTGGCAGAGAAGCAGGGGAAAACCCTGCCTGTCCATCAGCCAACTTCAAAGAGCCAGTCGGTAATCCGAAACAGGAACGAGGAGGATGGCAAACAAGACGCCTGGCTGTTATTTGTGGGTTTGGCCCACAAGCTGCGTGTGAAACCTGTCACTGAGGATAAACCCGCAGATCTCCACTGGGTCAGTGCCCAGTAACACACTCTCCCTGGTAAAACCCTCCCGTTGCTGGATGGTCCACTTTTGGTGTGGGGATATGGTCCATAAGACGACTGTCAGTCCCTGCTTGGTTTCTTTATATTTAATATAATTCTTTATTCCACCAATTTAGCATTGTCAGACTCACGATTGACATAAAAGAGAGATCAACATGAATGCAGCAGGGCCAGAAATATCACCATTTTTATTCTTCCTCGTCAAAAGCTTGCGCCTACATTACCCACAATGCAACTCAGCCGTCTG